TCCACAGAAGCTGATTTCAATCAATTTGTGTTCCGACAGTGCTCGTTGTAGGGATTTAGGGACATACATAATTGTATTCCAAATGGCTCAGTGCTGCATCTAGTCAGAGTCGCACTCTGAATCTTTCTCTCTCAGTCAAGGTCCTGCGGTGCATAATGCTTATTAAGGAGTGCTGCCACACACACAACCCACTTGCACTATTTTTCTTCTATGCAACCCATAACACTCTTTCCCCCTCTGCATCTCTTTCTCTCCCTCCCTCTGTCTCTCCCTCTCTTTGGGTTCTCCAACTGTTTTGCTATGACGCTTGAGTCAACATTAATTTAAATGAGTTGCCACTTAACTTTTAATTAAAAATTCACTTTTTATTTATTTAGTTGGAAACGGAATGGACTGGCCCCGACCCAAACCTGCCGCCCCACAGCCCATTCCCATTCCCAGTCCCCCCCTTGCACTTATTCTGCGTCCCTCTCCCGCTAACTTTGATTTAAAAAAGTAGCGCCAACTAAAATAAAAATTGCAAAAAATAAAATAAAATACCAAAAACTAAAAAAAGAAAAATAAGGACGAAGAAGGAGGTGCATTCAGTTTGGCATACGCGCAGTTTCATATAAATTAGAGTTTGTATTATTTTATTCTGCTTGAAATGAGCGCAAATGGTTTTCATTTAATTTGGCGCGCGACTTTAATTGCCATCGACTAAATAAATAACCGCGAATGAACAAACGAGTGCAACGATATGTGAAGTGTGACTGAAGAAAATGGGGAGTTCATCAAGCTATTTTCGTAATTCTTATTTTTCCCTGCCGGGATTTGCATTCATTTTCATCCAGCACTTGTGAAATTTTGAGACGTGCTGAGCCTCTATATGCTAACCCCTTAGTTCCTTATATCCTCTTACTTGCATAAATCGAATCGAAACACAGCAGAGCTAAGTTATTAATTACGTCCAGTCTTCCTCTCGACTTCATTGATATACATACATACGTACATAGGTATGGCATCAAGGCATTTTGGATGGCTTCTGGCATCGATTCAAGAACAATTCGAGCTGTGAGCCTCTAATGTTCTGATATTTGAGTGTTGACTGCTGGATGGGTTCGTAGCAAGAGTTTATTTGATGCCAATGTGTTAATTTTGACAGCAAGACATGGCCAATTAATTACAATTGAACTGCTCTCCCTGCCACACACACACATATACGATAATGCTGAAAAGTCTGGATGGGTTGTCAACCCACACTGTCCACGTATATTAAATTTGTTTGCTGAGGTTTATTCAACTGTTTGCCAGAGCTTGTCACGGTGGGAACGGGGACAGGAGAGGCGGACATGTGCAGCCCTTGAACTGGAATTGATGCATTTACATCCGTTTGTAATTTCCTACTTGTGCATGGAATATACAAGGGGGTCTATATCTGCATTGCTCGTCTCCAAAACTGTTCCACCAATGCTATGCAGTCAACCGATTCGAATTCCAATACCGGGCTCAGTCACTCACTCAATCTGCCTGTTACCTCTCTGTCTATATTTGGGTAGTCCCACTTCAATCCTTGCAGTTTTATTGCGTTAATTTCATCATCATCATCATCGCACTCACTCGTGACCCCGGCTACATGCAAATTTTCCCACCTCCGTCACTTCTCTGTGTGTGTGTGTGTGAATTTCCACAGCTCAGTCAATATTATTGATCAGGCGTCAAATTTTGGATGCGGGGGAAAGGGAAACTCTGAATCTGCTGCACACACAAATTGTGGCAAAATTTTCATAGTTGGTCTATCCACGGCCCTTGGCTGTCGCAGCTGGAGGCGGATTTGACTTGTTCTCGGGGCTATGTGTGGATATACCCAAAGTAATAGCCCTTAATGTGAGACTTTACAGCAATTAGCTTTCAAGCAAGTTGCACAGAAAGCAAAGAAGCACCAGTGGTGAATGTTGGGGTTTTATTGTACTGGTGTTTTAGCTGATGATTCCCGATTTGTACGAGAACTTGTAGGAAAAATCTATGTTAAATTGCCGAGCGTATCGGCACGTCTGATCTGATCTCTTCAAACTAAATAATGAAAATATTGAATAAAATCAAAGAGCATTGTGCGGTTTCATTTTCGAGTCAATAAACTTTCTTATATCCGACTAAATATGTTTTTTGACCCATTGACAAAGTCTCCAACAGACACGATATTTAAAACGAGCTGTCTTCCGAAAATCCGGAACATCAGCGTCTCCCATTCTTCTTGTGAAGTTTTTATACCCGTACTCAAAAAAGAGTTAAGGGGTATATTAGATTTGTGGTAAAAGTGGATGTGTGTAACGCATAAAAGACAAAAATCTGCGGCAGGCAAAATTTTAAAGATACGCTAAAGCTAAAAACGCAGTATCGAAGAGAATGACCATATCTACCAGATTGCCGAGATCGGATCATAATTAGAGCCAGAATGAAGAAATTAATTTTCAGTTACTTCCCCCTCACACGTTCCTTCTCGTTTTTCGTAGTCTGGTTAAACGTAAATATTTCAGTTGAGAAATCTTAAACTTTGTAACTATAGCGCCGAACAGCTGGAGTCCAGAGCCTCACTTCAAAGTCGCTAGTGGCGCCCCGAATCGACTTTTCTTCTTCTTCCATTTTTCGAATTTAGTTTTAGTCCAATTTAGCAAAGAATTAAACCACATTTAACATTTTATAGAATTTGTTATTCGAAATTTGTTCGTTCAGTCTTAGTCCAATTTAGCAAAGAATTAAACCACATTTGAAATGTTTTAGAATTTCGTATTCGAAATTTGTTCGTTCAGCTTTAGTCCAATTTAGCAAAGAATTAAACCACATCTAAAATGTTATAGAATTTCGTATTCGAAATTTGTTCGTTCAGTTTCAGTTCAATTTAGCAAAGAATTAAACCAGCATTTCGATATTCGACATGCTACAGTGGCGCCTTACTTTGAGAAATTGTATTTTGAGATGCGCCACTGCTGACACTACACAGATGGCGCTACAACAAATTGCGCAGAAGTATTTTTTATTTGCATGGTATTTATTCGTTTCAATTCCATACAATTTTTTTGAAAACCTGGTATTTTCTTGCTTAGCTTGGTATTTGTTTGGTATATTGCAGACGGATAGCAGACGAAAAATAAATAAATAATTAATTAAACAATAAAAGCTGTTGTTTGGATGATTATTTAATATATTTAATACAGATAGTAAGGCACATTTATAATTATAAAGTTAAATGAAGCTGTTAAAAGGTGCTAGCGAGTAATTTCTGCGAATTTGGGCGTGTTTAACAACAATATAATGGCAACAATACGGGTGACGTAGTAAAATTGGTCATCTTTTAGCTCTGCCATTTGGTGAGCCAGCGTAGTTGCGTACGCCCTAATTTCGTTCATTGGCTATCTGTTCGGCGTTGAGAAGTACTTCTCCACCATCTTTCGGATGGCCTCCACCTCGTTCCTATTTCCAGAGTCGGTCGGCGTCCCTGAGAATACTTCCGCCCAATTAAGGGCAGTGTATTATTGCTCGTATAATTTCTGTACCGTTGCAACGGTTTTCAGGTGTAATGCTGCCACATTACCTGGTGGAAGATATCCCAAATGACTGGGATCCATATTCGCTTTATTGTGGTCGGACACAATGGCCATTCGATTTTTGGCCAGGCCCAGTTTGGAGATTTTTTTCAAAACGATCTTAAGAGCCGTGGAAGCCCTCCCAAGCTTTGATTGACGATTTGTAGCTATATCAATACATATGTTGATGTGTAAAAATATATATTTAAATAGTTTGTATTTATAGAAGCGAAATAATTCTACTTACCACTCGGATATATACATACATAGCTAAAGTGGCTGTCGTCCAAGTGAATGGCAGCAAAAGCCAGCACCCTCAATTTAACTTTGCCTTGACCACTTGGTGTCCTTGGCTGAAAATATTAAATAAATAAATATGTATATAAATGTCTGTATTGTATAAATAATAATATTAATTAAACACTTACGATATCCATTAAATAGTATTCGTCAAAGTACAAAAAAAAGGGGTTTGCTTTAAAGGAACCCAACGATGACAGCATGTTTACTTTTCCTCGATGCATCTCATCCAGATGCGCCGGACGCTCAAAAAACTTTATAAGACGCTTTATTTCTCCAACATTTGTTTTCCTATCAAAGGTTATAAAAAATACTCCATAATATTTCTAATTTTGGGTGTTCTTGGAGCTTCGGTCGACGCTAGGAAAGGATACACTCCCGCTTCGCTATGAGCTGGCAATGGCGGCATGTAGTTGGCATTGTGGGCATAGTTGAAGACATCAACCGGAAATATACTACCTATGGAGGTATTGAGGGAAATCCTCGCTCCTCCGGTTGTGGGAGTGGATGTAGCACTGGTTTCCGGCGTGTAGCCGCCTCTCGATTTGAGTCCTTGCAGCTGACTGTTGGATGCCGACAAGGCGGCTGTTGCTGTTGCTTGTCATGAGTTGTGTCCTCTGCAGTAATGTCGACACATTATGAAATCTAGTATACACCAAGCATATGGTGCCAACTGATGCCAACTGACTGCCAACCTGCCCCATCATAAATGAGGAATGGGCAAAGAGGGTGGGGGTGGGCGTGCCGTATTATAAACTTTGTCCATAGATTCCTATTTTTCAGAGAACTTTTATTTTTCATATTGGCGAATAGATACTACGATGCTACTTCGAGGACTTCAGATTCGATGTCATCACCGACCATCTCGCAATATAAAATGGCTGAAAATCCTTGAAAGACCGTACGGACTCAATACGACAAGTATTATCCCACAATCTGTTGGATATGGTGGGGAGAGCACAGAGTCGCGTTAGGCGCACCCACACACTTTGCACATACGCTCTGGGCTTAATTCCAATACTCTTGTACATCAAAAAACAAAAATACAAAAAAATACGCGATGGTAAATAGCTGTTCGTTCCAGTAAGCGGCAGTTATTATTTATTATAAATAAATGAACATAAAACAATTGCAGCATTATTGGCGAAGTGGTCCCATGGCCTCCTGCTGCGCATCGACGACCAACTCGTCCCCATGCGATGGCGGGCCGTCTCCTTTCCACAGCTCCTGCAAGCACCCGATGTACTGTTCAAAGTCGTTGGCTTTGAAATTTAGTTCTACGTCAGAAACTCCCAGCACGTACTTGTGGTACGGGCAATGGTGATGGTAGACGTTCTTGCGAGGATAGGTCACTGGCAAACGATGCTCTTTCATGTGATCCAAATAGCTGTCATAGTCGCCAAGGAAAGAATCAGCCGTGGCTACGTAGGACATGGCATCGGTAATGATCGTTTCTGTTTTAGGATCCATGTTGAAGGCTTGCAGCATGGGGTCTGCCGAGAAAAGGTGATCCTTGTCCGGGTGCGTAAAACCGTCGCGCAGTGTCCACAGAAAGGCAATCGGCATGAGACTGAATCGAACGCAGTCCATTAGGCGGCCCAGATGCTTCACGCGTTCGTCGCGCGCCAGGTTCATCCAGCGCAGGACCAGGAAGAAGACCTCTATTTCGGAGTTAACGCCGATAGAGTCGCGCTTGAGTAGGTATTCCAGGTCGTCAACTGATAGCTCCGTGAAATATTTGCTCCCCACGAGCGCTAGGAAGTAATTTCGAATCCTTCCGCTCATCGCATTGCATACATCCTGAAGATCCGGGTATGGCTTTGCCTGCCGAAACACCATAAAGGCAGCCTTTTCGCGCAGACTATCGGCGTTCAGCACCGCCCAGCATATGGGCTCAAGAAGGTCAATCTTCAGGTACCTGGCCACCTGGAGTGTATACACCACGTCAGCAGTGCTGGGCAGCTTCTGGAAGCGCAACCATTCGTAGGCGCACTCGAAGCCTTTGGCCGGCACCTGACTTGGCAAAAAGTTGAAATTGGTGGCACGCCAATCGCGGCTCGCAAACCACATCGAATAGCACTTGAGAAGGCTTGGTATGCAGTAGAACTGACTATCCTCGATATTCACCTGCAAGGTGGCCCCTGCGTTGTCCCTCACCTGTTTGGCGAGTAATTCGGAGATCGGCTTCGTGTGCGGCAATGTTCCAACGTATATGGGAGTTTCCTCCAGGGGCAAGAAGTCGAAGAGGGAGCGCAGAGGAACCGTTTGCTCCCCCAAGCCCGAGTACTCGTCGGGAGAGATCAACCAACGGCGAGGACTCGCTTCATCCGTTTCCATGGTTCCAGCAGGAGGCTTCTGTTCCCCCAAGGCCGAACTGGTAGACGACATCTCCGAGTCGGTATTCTGGTCGTTGCTCGTCGAGCTTTTGCCGACTTGAAACGTTTTCTTAATTTTTTCCATTATGTTAAATATTCCGGAAATATTTTTTTTGTGTTGAAAGCAAATTGAACAGTCAGGACTGGAACTTTTCAATAGTGACGTGTTACGGGATGGTGACTGTTTTATACTTTTTCAAATACATTTTTTTGTTTGCCTATAAAAAACTACCTCGGGTATCAGGCCCGATTAGTGGGCATAACGTGCGCGTCATACCGGGCATACGATTATTATGGGATGCTATAATAGCCCGTCGAAGCATTCGAGAGACGACATCAAAATACAGTTATACAGTTATACAGCACGGAATTTAGCGCCCAAAACATTGCAGAAATTATTGGCCATCTTGCTCGTTGGCTTGCAACGGCTGACACCCTTCTCGGAGCACAGCCACCGAAGTTCGTCCCCAGAAGTGTTATAATGGCATCAGGGGGTCACAACATTTTTGTATGATAATAATACAATTAGTTTCAAGTATTTTATTTAATGATTTTATGTATATTTTCTCCTTTTTGCACAAACATAAATTTTTAGCGCCAAAATATTTTTTTTGTTCTACAAGTTTTTGTTGTTATTAGTGGTGATAGTTGCGCTGATAGGCAGAAAAGTGCAAAAATGTGCTGTTAAGCGCAAAAGCAATCGAATATATCGAATAGACGCACATGAATCAGAGACCGACGCAACTTTTTGCCGCCACTAGGGCCCTATGCTTAACAGCCTATTAGTTCCACATTGCCACATCAAGAGAAAAAATTAAATTCAGGTATCTGGCAGCCACGAATACTCGGTTTGTAGGACTGACGAGAGCTGGCCGGCATGAGACTTGGGCGTTGCTATTCTACATACATTTTACAAATCCATATTCGATAACCAAATACTCGATACATAATAGCGCCCAACAGCACTTTTTGTATCTCGCGCCTAACAGTTCTATTTGTAATGTTTTGTGCTCAAAACAAACTAATTCGGGCCAAAGAATCATCAATTCAATGCTGCAATTTGCAATTCAGAAAAGCCGTCAAAGTTGGTTTTATATACGTTGCATTTCTGCGCGTAATAGCTCGTCCTGTATTCCGTCTATTTAAGATTCATTTAGTTGCAGGACAATGGAGGAAATGTGCAGAGTTTGCATGGGAACGTCTGGAGCATTCACAAACATTTTCACCGAGACACAAATGTGGGACACCTGCATTGCTGACATGATAGCTCAGTGTACCGGGTATGAGGTTAGCCGAGGCGATTCACTATCCGAAAACATATGTCCGCCTTGCCTTGAGGATGCAGTGAGTGCATTCAATCTTAAGACCACCTGCGAGCAGAGCCATAAACTATATTTCAAACTGATGGAAGAGGATAAACAAGACGAAATCTGTGATAATGAGGAGGACGAGGACTGGGAACCGTCAGATAATGAAAGTGAGCAGTCGAACAATTTTGAAGCCGATGCAAAGGTTCAAGGTGATCGTTCAGACGATCGTCTGTTCAAATGTAGTCTTTGTCCAAAGAGCTATGCGCAAAAATCGAATCTTAATAGGCACATAAAATTGCATACAGGTGAACGACCCTATCAATGCTCCCAGTGCTCAAAGTCCTTCATATATAGGTCCAATCTTGAATTACACAACCGTACTCACACTGGGGACCGACCCTACTCGTGCTCTCACTGCTCGAAGACATTTCAACAAAAAGGCCAACTCCGCGATCACATTCGTACTCACACGGGTGAAAGACCATACAAGTGTTCTCACTGCTCGAAATCTTTTTCATGCTCTGGATCTCTCCGGATTCACATCCGTATGCACACGGGTGAACGACCCTACCCATGCTCTCAATGCCCAATGTCTTTTGCACAAAAATACCATCTTGAAAGACACTTCCGTTTGCACACGGATGAACGACCCTACCAATGCTCTCAATGCTCGAAGACATTTATAACAAAATCAAACCTTGAGATGCACACCCGCATGCACACGGCTGGACGACTCTACAAATGCTCAGACTGCTCGCAGTCATATCAGACAAAATCCCATCTGAGCGAACACCTCCGTACGCACACGGGGGATCGACCCTTCAAATGTTGCCACTGTTCCAAGTCATTTAAGCAAAATGACGAACTCAAAAAACACATCCGCACTCATACTGGGGAGCGACCGTTTCAGTGTTCTCTCTGCTCGAAATCATTTAAACAAAAATGCCAAGTAAGCGAACACCTTCGGACTCACACGGGGGAGCGACCATTTAAGTGTTCTCACTGCACAAAGGCTTTTTCGTACTCTGGATCTCTGTGGGTTCACATCCGTACGCACACGGGTGAACGACCCTACCAATGCTCTCACTGTTCAAAGACATTTATAACAAAAAATACACTTGAAAGACACACCCGTACGCATATGAGTGAAGGACCCTACAAATGCTCCGACTGCTCGAAGACATATCATACCAAATCCCATCTGAGAGAACACATCCGTACACACACGGAGGAGCGGCCCTATAAATGTAACCACTGCTCGAAGTCATTTAAGCATACCCAATCTCTTAAAAAACACATCCGCAGTCACACGCCGAATGATAGTTAGAGCGTTCCAAATACAAAAAAAATATCTCCCTATTCCAGCACTACGTATCTTTTTCCTTATTTCCTTGGGTACTGAATATATCCAATATCTAAGATAAAAAATCGGTAAAGCAAGAAAAAAAGAAAATATTTCGTTCAAACGATCTAATATGTACTTATCTGGAAGATAAAGATAATAAAGCCAACTTATTCAATTATATAGTGATTCCGGCAGCTTTCAGCTGGGAGCACAAGGGTCCAACATGTTGGCTGCCAGTGGGTCTGCTCTCCTCCGACGTGTTTATAAAAAGGTTGCAGAAGCATTCCACGGCATCTAAATATTGTGTGTTTGGACATGAGAGCAAAGAAGTATATAAAGTAGAGCTGTCAAACGATTGATAGATATTTTTCAAGCGTAGTGATATAAAGATTGATCAAATCAAATGTATTGTAATTAAAAATTGGTAATCCATCAATTTTGTGTTAAAAAACAAGAGTTGAATAACACATTTTGGCATTAGCAATCATTAGATTCCAGCCACCAGTAAATTTGTTAAAAAATTTGTCAAAACTATAAAATCGTTTAAATCAGCCAATTTACCAATCAAATCAAAAACAATGCAGAGATGGGAACGTGACAGCTGGTAGCTCGATACTATCATAATAGTCTCAAAACTATCGATAGTAGCGGCCATCAGCAAAACATTGATACCATCGATAGTGCCCTCGATGGTTTGACACCTCTAGCGTACAATAAATAAAACAAATATAAATACAACAAATTTGCAAAAAATAAAGCCCATCGGATCGCATATAAAATGAACAATGGAAACCCAAATATAGTATTTAATCCTCTGATCAGTTGCATACAGAAGGTAGTGCTATATGAGACCCGCACAGTAAGTAGTTGTAATTAACTTGTAAACAAACATTTTTATTTGTTAACTGTTCGTGATTTAGCGTTTGTATTTGGTTGGCAGTAACAACCGTGAGACGAGATTTAGGCTGCTCACAATCGATCGGCTTGCACACAATCGGTTGAGTATTGAGGAAAATGCCAATGAATTCAATAGCTTGGAAATTAGACGCTTTGTGGCTTCCCTCACGGGCTCGCCGAAGGTGACATCAGCCTATGGAGTGCTGGGCTTTGTCAGATTCCTCGAGGGATACTACCTGATACTGGTTACCAAGCGCAAGTGTTGTGCCTTCATTGGAAACCATTTGGTCTACACTATTAAGGACACAGTGATGGTACGTGTGAACGAGGTGACATCCCAGCGACCACCGCACCCCCACGAGGATCGCTACAAGAAAATGTTTCAGAACATCGACCTGCGTAGCAACTTTTATTTCTCGTATTCATACGATCTGACGCGAACCCTGCAGTATAATGAATCGGCGCCGCGCTTTGTGGGAGCCAAGGTGGATCTGGATCGGGACGAGCCACTACCCGACTGGAACACGCTGACTAACAACGTTGCGCAGATTCATGAGCGTGTGGACTATGCATTTCGCAGCGATTCCCGCAAGCGTTTTGTATGGAATGCCTATCTGCTGCAACCAATGGAGGGTATAATGCTGAAGGACTGGCTGCTGGAGGTCATCCACGGATTTGTTAGCCAATCGTGCATCAGCATCTTTGGGCGGCATGTAAATGTCTGCCTTATAGCGCGACGCAGTACGCGCTTTGCGGGTACACGCTTCCTCAAGCGTGGTGCAAACTTTCAGGGCGATGTAGCCAATGAAGTAGAGACGGAGCAAATTGTTAGCGACGGTCAGCGACTGTGTGCATTCACGCAAATGCGTGGCTCCATACCATCCCACTGGTCGCAGGACATCAGTAAAATGGTTCCCAAGCCTCAGATTCAGGTCGTTATATGTGATCCCTATGCTCAGACACCCTCGCGGCATTTTGAGCGGCTGCTATTCCACTATGGGGCCCCATTGATAATGCTGAACCTGGTTAAGAAGCGAGAGCGCCGGAAGCACGAGTCTATCATCTCCAAGGAACTGGAGTACAGCATTCGCTACCTAAATCAGTTTCTACCCCCGCCACATCGAATGAAGCACATACACTTCGATATGGCCCGGCAGAGCCGTTTGAGTGGTGGAAACGTCATGGAGCAGTTGGCTATATACGCAGAAAGTGTCATTCAATTGACGAATATGTTCTTTAAAGCTCGAGGCAGTGATCTCAGCCTTCAGACTGGCATTGTACGCACAAATTGCGTGGACTGCTTGGACCGTACCAACTCTGCCCAGTTTGCCATTGGAAAGTGTGCACTGGGGCACCAGCTAGAGAGATTGGGCTTTCTGAAGTCGGCGAAGCTAGAGTTCGACTCGGATTGTGTAACGATGCTGGAGCATTTGTACGAGGAGCATGGCGATACGCTAGCGTTGCAGTATGGTGGCTCTCAGCTAGTGCATAGGATTAAGACATATCGAAAGACCGCTCCCTGGGGCTCCCAAGGCAACGATGTGATGCAGACCCTCAGTCGCTACTACAGCAACACTTTTAGCGACACTGAAAAGCAGCACAGCATCAATCTATTTCTTGGCATTTACAAGCCTAGCCTCACAAAATGTGAGTACATGCATATATGTATCATTTAGTTCTGCATTGATAGTGTTTTTTTGTTTTGTTTTTTTCATCTAGTGACTCAACCTATATGGGAGCTACAAACCGACTACGATATGCACAATGACTTTGTGCCCAGCACGGATAGCAAACAGATAACCGATTGGGTTCGTCATAAGGTACGGGAGTGCCTGCCATACTCGTGCGCCGATTCGAACAAGCTCGTTAAGGAGCTATTCCGCGTACACAGCAATGGCTTGGAGATGATCGATGCCTACTCGAATTACCATCAATCCTTCAAGTGGAGTGATCTTAGTGAGCACATTGCCTTTGAGATCAGCCAGCTGGCAATGCGCTTTATGCCAACATTCCGCACCAACTACAGTCCGTTTCAGAGACAGATTCAGACGTCACGAAAAGCTCGTCAAAATCCCTCGATGACTGGACAAAGTTCCACGGGGTCGGCGAACAGCAACTCTTCAAGCTCTAGTGAAGGCGATGACAGCTCCAGCGATGAGGAGCTTAGTGCCAGCTTTGCCGAGAAAGAGGCCAAGCAAACAGAATCGGCTGAGCCGGCCGCTATAACCCTGGATTCGGTGCTTCCTTCAATGGAACAGGTTTACGGCTGCAGCATTAATCCGCCCTCCAAACAGAGCATGGCCATCTACAAGAAGTACGTGCAAATGGGAAAACTGTCCAGTGGAGGAGCTCGGCCTGCCCAGACATCCGTTGCCCAGCGCGACCAGGAGCTCGCTAAGATCATGAGGGGCATCACCATGCGCCCGCTGAGCAACTATGGCCAGGACTCGTATCTGAGTGTGCGTCCACCGACCGTTCCAAGCAAGAGTCAGAATATATATGTAGAGTATTGTAAAACACCGCGCAACTTCAATTCCGTGCCCAAGTTTGAAGAGTTCGATGTGCTCTATCGATATGTACAGAAGCTCTAGAAGCAGCAAAATTTTAATTTCGTTTGCTCAAACGTATGTATGCATCTATGTTTTTAAGATTGAAATTATTGTATTTGTAACAACAATAGAATTCAATAGCTGACTTGCGCCTAACAGCACATATTTTTAACATTTTACATTTGACAATGGAGGAAATGTGCAGAGTATGCATGGAGACGTCTGGAGCATTCATAAACATTTTTGAACATAAACGGCACTTTTCGTGATCACAAAAGGATGATACTATTTCTCCAACTGCAGATCGAGATATGACCGATATCTTAAACGACGCCTAATAAATGCATCTTTACACAAAATGTACACATACACAGAATATAAATTTGCTTTCCACTTTTCCTGAATTTTTAAATTCAAAATTTTTTTTCCTTGAGGAAAAATCGTGTCGAGTAGTGTTATTTGCATTAGGTTGTTACCTACATTTTTAAGTTTGTTAAAAATACTGAATAACGTTCTTCTAAAGAAGCTTAACCGTGTGATCTTTCAATATACATATATGTACAAAAATTATATATCGGATTTACCTAAAAAAAATATTTTCAAATGTATACAGCTAGTAAAAACCAATTCGAGACTACCCATATTTTTACATCCGATAACACAACATATGTTTTCATTCGACTAGTATGTGAATGAGTTTTGCGCCTTACAGTCCATTTCGTGTATTCATTTTCTCAAACCAAAACAATTCACGCCTAGGAATCATTCATATTGTCAATTCGGAAAAACTGCACCATTTTGGCTGCTTGTGGGTTTGATTCTAAGCATTTCACATGTATGTATTTAAATGTTGTTGCATTCCGTTTATTAAGATTCATATATTTGCAGGACAATGGAGGAAATGTGCAGAGTTTGCATGGGAACGTCTGGAGCATTCATAAACATTTTTGATGAGACACAAAAGTGGGAGACCTGCATTGCTGACATGATAGCTCAGTGTACTGGGTATGAGGTTAGCCAAGGCGATTTACTATCCGAAAACATATGTCCGCCTTGCCTTGAGGATGCAGTGAGTGCATTCAATCTTAAGACCACCTGCGAGCAGAGCCATAAACTCTTTACACCACAAATGGAGAAGGGAATAGATGAGGTCCCCTGGGATGCAAAAGTAAAAAGAGCTGATAAGGATGTCGATCTTGTATTTAGTTGTCCCCATTGTTCGAAGCAGTACACGCATAGAAGCAACTTATACAGACACATTAAATTTCATACTGGTGAACGTCCCTACAAATGCTCCGACTGCTCAAAGTCGTTTATACAAAAAAGCGAACTCGAGGTACACATCCGTATTCACACGGGTGAGCGACCGTTTGAGTGCACTCATTGCTCGAAGACGTTTAAGCAGAACTCGCATCTGCAAATACACATTCGTACCCACACAGGAGATCGGCCCCATCAATGCACCCAATGTCCGAAGTCATTTCAAGAACTGTCCCACCTAAAAGTACACAGCCGAACTCATACGGGAGAGCGACCGTATATATGTTCTCATTGCCCCAAATCTTTTTCCCATGCTGGAACACTACGGGATCATATCCTTTTGCATACCGGTGAACGACCTCACGAATGTCCACACTGCTCCATGTCTTTTGGGCAAAAATCAGAGCTGCAAGTGCACATCCGCTCTCACACGGGAGAGAGACCGTTTAAGTGCTCTCAATGCCCCAAGTCCTTTGCCCGAGCCGCTTGTCTCCGGTCTCATATCCGTTTGCATACTGGCGTACGACCCTACCAATGTTCCCACTGCTCAAAGTCCTTTGTACAAAAATCCAATCTTGATACACACGTACGTACTCACACGGTGGACCGAGCCTACCAATGTTCCTACTGCTCAAAGTCCTTTATGAAAAGTTGCGATCTCCAAGCACACATCTGCACTCACACCGGGGAGCATCCCTACAAGTGCTCATTCTGCTCAAAGGGGTTTATTCACAACTCATCTCTGAAGAGACATACCCTCACTCACACGGAACAAGGGCATTCAAGTGTACCCGATGCTTAAATTTCTTTACTAACTCGGTCATTCGGCGAGCTCACATTCGTAAGCTCCCTGAAGTATGGCTCTACGAGTGCTTCTACTGCAGATCGAGATCTCTAAGTTCTTTACAGATCTTGACACTTTCCGGCTGAGGTAAGAATGACCGATATGGGGGTAAATGGGAGGACAACGCAAATTCAAGACGGAATAACTGAAATATGTATATTCTCCAGATGCTTAATCTGTCATTACTTGTTCTTTAGATTCTCAAGAACTGGGTATATATTTAATAAAAATATTCCTAAACATTTTGAAATGTAACAATGTGTTCTTGAACTTTTGACCAAAACATCATATGTCGATACGTCGGATGCGAGGATATTTAATTTAATTTTGGCTGAGCATTGACGAAAAAGATTAATTTGAGGAATATCAAAATTCCCTATTCAGGTAAGCCCAAAAGCATATTAAAATCTCTTTCAGGAACACCCATATTGTTACAGATTCTGGTAATAGCCTGTTACCGTGATGCGCGCGTAACAGCACATTTTGTAGACTTCAGTGTATCAAAACAAAACAATTCACAAGTAATACTTGAGAGTAGCTTTTAATTTAATATAAAAGGCACAATTTGATTGCTTGTGGGTTTAATTTTCCACTTAATTCACCAATAGATGTAGATTTCTGTATTCCGTTGATTAAGATTCATTTAATTACAGGTCCATGGCGGCGATATGCAGAGTTTGTATGGGAACGTCTGGAGATTTCACAAACATTTTTAATGAGATTACAACATTGGAAGCTTGCATAGCTGACATGATAGCTCAGTGTACCGGGTATGAGGTTAGCCGAGGCGATTCCCTACCAGAAAACATATGTCCGCCTTGCCTTGAGGATGCAGTGAGTGCATTCAATCTTAAGACCACCTGTGAGCAGAGCCATAAACTCTATTTCCCAGCAAAGGAGGCGGGGATACAAGATACTCTGGATCACGAGGATTGGTCAGGTAGTGGAAGTGAGCAATCGAACAATGTTGGAACTGATGCAAAATTTCCACAAGAGTATGTAGTGAGGAACAATTTCGTACGAGCCTACAAATGCTCCGCCTGCTCACAATCCTTTGAGAAAAAATCCCAACTAAGCGAACACATCCGCACTCACACTGAAGAGCGACCGCATAAATGCTCTTATTGCTCAAAGTCCTTTATTATAAAATCCAAACTTGTAAGACACACCCGAACGCACACGGGTGAGCGACCCTACAAATGCTCTCACTGCTCGAAGGCTTTTTCGCACGATGGAACTCTCCGGATACACATCCGTACACATACGGGTGAACGACCATACCTATGCCCTCACTGCTCGATGTCCTTTACCCAAAATCCCGAACTCAAAGCACACATCCGTACACATACGGGGGAGCGACCATATAGGTGTTCCCAGTGCTCCATGTCATTCAAACAAATCGCCCATCTTCAAATCCACACACGTTCCCACACAGGTGAACGACCGTATCAATGCTCTCACTGCCCCAAGTCATTCAAACAAAATGTCGAACTCAAAGTACACATCCGCACTCACACGGGGGAGCGACCATACATGTGTACTCACTGTTCGAAGACATTTAAACATAACATATCTCTAAAAAAACACAATCGCACTCACATGCAGAACGATCGTTAAAGTTTTCCAAATGAAATGCAAATCCATTTATTTCGCTATTCCAGTACTACTATTCACGTTTGTGCCTAATTTGGAGAACGACTCTTTTAGTGTTCAAGGGTTTTACAGTTCCTTGGGTATCTTCCTTCCAGTATCTTCGATAGCCAATAACTATAGCAAGAAAACTAAAAACATTTCATTTCTATACATGTACATACACACACATATTAATTAAGTTTTTAGGAATTAAAATAGATTTCAAAATAATAAAAGCAAACGTCAATTGACAAGTGTTTCCATACGTTTAACTTAAATAATGTACGACAAGAAGCTTCTCCACCATAAGTTCGAAGAATTTTAGACTGTCTGTCCTTTGTCCAGCGTTTTGTCACTTTCTTTTTAGATGAACAATGCCCAAAGGCAGGTTCAAACTCTGTTTTAACTCCCTCTCAAAACGAGTTACCACACAACTGCCATAGAGGACTGTGAAACGAAAGAAAATATTTATATATAAATGTTGGAAATGAATGCCGAATCGTATTATTTATACATACCAGTACGTTCCAAGTATGGATTCTATGCCAACCCACTAACTATCTCCAGTTTATCATTTAGCATTTCCACACTTTGATCCTTCGTTTAAAGTTGGGCATAGCATAATTTTTAATTTGTGGTTTATTTATTTAGTGAATTTAAAAGATGACTATAATTTATGAAAAATATTTTAAATCGATACCACATTCGCGCTTTCCGCCCTATACTTTGCGCTTAACAGCTCTATTTCTTATGTATTCAGCTCCTGGCTAAATAATGCGAACCAAAACCACATTATACATACTTATGTACATATGTATATCCAACCTACCCCTCAGCTTAATCTGAATAAAGCAAAAAAGCCAAAGAAATTGACATCTATAGTTTGCAATTCGGAAAAGCTGCACAAGTTAGTTGTTTGCACTTTATATTCGAATAGATTCGAGAACGAAATTGTGTATTCCGTTTACTTTAGTTCTATTCCAATGGAGAAAATATGCAGAGTTTGCATGGGAACGTCTGGAGCATTCACAAATATTTTTGATGAGACACAAAAAAGAGACACCTGCATTGCTGTCATGTTATCAGAGTGCACAGGATACGTGGTTAGGCGAGGTGATTCCCTACCAGAAAACATATGTCCGCCCTGCCTTGAGGACGCAGTGAGTGCATTCAATCTTAAGAAAACCTGCGAAAAGAGCCATAAACTATGTTTCCAAGTGTTGGAGGATGAAGAATTAGAAGAAGAAGACTTTTCTGATAGTCTGGAAGATGAGGACTGGGAACCGTCAGATATTGAAAGTGAGCAGTCGATGCATTTTGAAACCGATCAAGATGGTAGCGATAACACTGATAATGTTGATAGAACCTATAAGTGTTCTGACTGCTTGAAGTCTTTCTCACACGCCGCAACGCTCCGGCATCACATCCGTACTCACACGGGAGAACGACCCTACAAATGCTTATTCTGCGCAAAGAGATTTCGAAATAAATGCAATCTTCACACCCACACCCGTACGCACACAGGGGATCGACCCTTTAAATGTTCCCATTGCTCGATGTCTTTTGCACAAAAATATAATCTCGAAAGACACACCCGTACGCACCCGGGAGATCGACCCTTCAAATGTTCCCATTGCTCGAAGACATTTGCACAAAAATTCGAACTCAAAATACACATCCGGAGACACACGGGGGAACGACCTTATAAGTGTACACACTGCTCTAAATCCTTTGCCCGATCCGATTGCCTTCGATCTCATATGCGCTTTCACACGGATGAACGAACCTACAAATGTAGTTACTGCTCCCAGGCATTTAAAGAAAAATCCCATCTGCAAAAACACAACCGTACTCACACTGGGGAACGGCCGTATAAATGTTCATACTGCTCAAAATCTTTTATGCAAAAATCTAAACTTGATAGACACACTCTCACTCACACAGGTGAAAAACCCTACCAATGCGCTCTCTGCTCAAAGACATTTCCAGAAAAATCTAACTTACAGATACATATCCGTACTCACACGGGCGAGCGACCGTACAAGTGTACCCACTGCTCCAAGTCTTTTTCTCACACCGGGACTCTCCGGATTCACATCCGTACGCACACTGGGGAACGACCCTACAAATGCTCTGAGTGTTCGATGTCTTTTACACAAAATTCCGAACTCAAAGTACACATCCGCACTCACACGGGGGAGCGACCATATAAGTGTTCCCAGTGCTCGATGTCGTTTAAACAACTCGCCCATCTTCAACTACACAACCGCACCCACACAAGTGATCGACCCTACCAATGCTCTCATTGCTCGAAGTCGTTTCAAGAAAAATCGAATCTCCAGGTACACATCCGTATTCACACGGGGGAGCGTCCGTACAAGTGTAATCACTGCTCTAAGTCCTTTACCCATGCCACAACTCTTCGAGGGCATATCCGTTCGCACAAGGATGAACGACCATACGAATGCACCCACTGCTCAAAGTCTTTTATACAAAAATACAGACTTGATAGACACACCCTTACTCACACAGGTGAACGACCCTATCAGTGCGATCACTGCTCAAAGACATTTACTCAAAACTCCCATCTTAAAGTACATATCCGTACTCACACGAAGTAGCGACAACCGGAATAACTCACATCCGTAGGCACCCTGCTGCCACTGTAGTTCGAGATCTTTAAGGCTCTTCAAAGATTTCGAGCTAGGAGAAACCGACTGCGACAAAGGACACGGCTCACGATCGAATACAAGCTTCTCCAGAAGCTTAACCGCTCGCCAACTCAAAAGCGACTTATCCTTCTGACATAGGGTAATATGAAAATATTTAAATAGAAACAAAAAAAAAACCGATTGATGTATATTTTTAAAAGTATTTTATAATGTACATATATATTTAAATGGAATAAACAATACATAACATACATACATCACTATTTCGCTAACATAACATAACATATGTTTCTGGCGCCTAACAGCACATTTTGTATACATTTTCTCAAAGCAAAACAATTTGAGATATGGTTTGGCAAAAATTAGGTTGGTGCTTTTTTTTTTTTTGTATTTTACTTAAATACCACACGTAGATATACTTCGTTTTACTTCAGATATAATCAATGGAGGAAATATGCAGAGTGTGCATGGGAATGTCCGGAGTATTTACAAACATTTTCGAGGAGACACAAGAGTGGGACACATGCATTGCTGACATGATATCGGAGTGCACAGGATACGTGGTTAGGCGAGGTGATTCACTATCAGAAAACATATGTCCGCCTTGCCTTGAGGATGCAGTGAGTGCATTCACTCTTAAGAAAACCTGCGAGCAGAGCCACAAACTCTATTTCACTCCGTTGGAGGAGGAAGACGAGGACTGGCAGGATGGTGAAACGGAGCAATCGAGCCAATTTGAAGACGATGAAGAGATACACCAAAATTATGGAAATAAGACGGATAATGTACAAAAGCGCTACAAATGCGCCGAATGCTCAAAATCTTTTTTACACAAATGCTCTCTCAGGGAACACTTCCGTACTCACACTGGGGAGCGCCCGTATCGGTGTTCTCACTGCCCCAAGTCTTTTGCCAACGGCTCAACCCTCCGATTTCACGTCCGTACGCACACGGGAGAAAAACCCTATCAATGTTCATACTGCTCGATGTCTTTTGCAAATAACTACAACCTTAAAAGACACACTCGTACTCATACGGGTGAACGACCCTATCTATGCCCTCATTGCGCGATGTCATTTTCACTGAGTTCTGAACTCAAAATACACATCCGTCGTCATACGGGGGAGCAACCGTTCCAGTGTTCTCTTTGCTTAAAATCATTTGCCCGAGACGATAGTCTCCGGGTTCATATCCGTTTGCATCAGGCTAAAAGACCTCACCAATGTCCTTACTGCTCCAATTCATATATCGGGAAAGCAGCTCTACAGGTTCACATTCGTAAGCACACTGGTGAACGACCATTCAAATGCACTCAATGTTCAAAGTCATTCGCACAAGAAGACAGCTTTAAAAGACACTGCCGTACGCACACAGGTAAAGGACCCTACAATTGTTCGGACTGCTCAAAGTCATTTAAATATAGCATATATCTTAAAAAACACATCCTCAGACACTCGGAAAACAATGGTTAAAGCTTCCCAAATACAAACGCAATTTAAACATTTTTTTAAGAATGTGTACATATATTAAGAAATAAATTAAACTATTGAATTGAATGGTCATTCTTGACGTGTACAATCTTCAAATACCAAAAATGTTATGCAACTGAAGAAAGATCAGTCATATGCTGGCGTTATTCGTAGATACATATGTGCATAAAGTCACTCCTAAGCGTGATCCATGTGGGCACCTAGCACCATACCCGGACTTCTGTCTCAAGAAAAGCAGATGGCTGTTCCTGGGCCGGCACGCGGTGTCCAGCTTCTACGCCAGCATGTGCTGCTCGTGCTATGGATAGTCAGATATCTTGCACTTGAAGATCTTTAGTCGCAGTGCCTTTCTGATGACCTATTCGGAATGGAATACATGCTTACATAAATTAATAAACGATAACTGATAATTAGGAATCTATCCACTTACATCTCAAAGCTTAATGGCAATAGATAAAGGAGCCAATTCAAGTGGCCAACATGCTGGCTGCCAGTGGTCTGATCTCCACCGACGAGTTCATGAAAAGGTTGCAGAAGAATTCAACGGCATCTGACTTTTGTGTGTTAGGACATGAAAGCAAAGTATATAAAGGCTGCGAAAGGATTCGAGATTATAAATACCTATATGAGAATGCATTATTATTTTTAGCAGACCCACTAACAGTGGTCCATGCCCCCACCTGTTGCATTGGTACTAAATCCAGGCGTCGTTCTTGTGTATAATCGCAAATCATTGCAAGCATCGGTCCTCTAATGCCTTGTATGAAATTCAACTTTTCGTCTATCTTGTTCGGTCTTGTTGCTCATAATATTAAAGGTAAATATTACTATGTTTTCAAAACATACATAGATACTCTCGCACCTAACAGCACTTTTGGTTTCTTTCATCTTGCGCCTAACAGCTCTTTTTGTAATGTTTTGTGGTCAAAACAAACTAATTCGGGCCAAAGAATGATCAATTCAATGCTGCAAGTTGCAATTCAGAAAAGCCGTCAAAGTTGGTTTTTTATACGTTGCATTCCTGCGAGTAGTAGCTCGTCCTGTATTCCGTTTATTTGATATTCATTTACTTGCAGGAAAATGGAGGAAATGTGCAGAGTATGCATGGAGACGTCTGGAGCAGTCACAAACATTTTTGATGAGACACAAAAATGGGACACCTGCATTGCTGACATGATATCGGAGTGCACAGGATACCTGGTTAGGCGAGGTGATTCCCTACCAGAAAACATATGTCCGCCCTGCCTTGAGGACGCAGTGAGTGCATTCAATCTTAAGAAAACCTGCGAGCAGAGCCTGATGGAGGAAAATAAGGCAAGAGACCTCTGTGTTAATGTAAAAGAGGAAGACTGTGAGCTGTCAGATAGTGGAAATGCGCAATTAAAACGTTTTAAAACCAATGCAAAGGTACATCGAAATGATAATCTAGATAATTGTAGCGTCGACGGTTCTGACCACTCCAAATCCTATCAACTAAAATCCCAACGCGGCGAGCATAAGTGCTCTCAGTGCCCCAAGTCTTTCTCATGTGCCGGAACTCTCCAGCGTCACATCAGCACACACACTGGAGAACGGCCCTACAAATGCTCCGACTGCTCAAAGACATTTCGACATAAATGCAATCTTCGAACACACACCCGTACGCACACCGGAGAACGACCCTACCAATGTTATCACTGTTCGATGTCTTTTACACAAAAATCAAATCTTGAAAGACACACCCGTACGCACACGGATAACCGACCACACAAGTGCCCTCAATGCTCCAAGTCCTTCATACAAAAATCCAGTCTTGAAAACCACATAATTTCCCACACGGGTGAACTACCATACCCATGCTCTCATTGCTCGCAGTCTTTTGAACAAAAATCTCATCTCCAAAAACACACCCGGACACACACCGAAGAGCGCCAGTATAAGTCTTTTCGAGGAGTCTCGAGGAGGTTTTCTCAGACTGTTGCGCTCCGAGACACCCATTCAGGAGGCGGACCACACCAGTGCATTCAGTGCTCTCAGTCATTTACAAAAAAAACCGAACTCAACGACCACACCTGTATTCACACTGTCGAGCTGCCGCATAAGTGTACTCACTGCTCCAAGTCATTTGCTCGATCCGACAGTCTCCGGATTCACATCCGTTCGCACACGGGTGAACGACCTTACCAATGTCCTCACTGCTACAAATCGTTTATTAAGGAAGAACAACTGCATATTCACATGTGTACGCATACGGGCGAACGACCGTACAATTGCTCCCAATGCTCGCAGTCTTTTGAACAAAAATCTCATCTCCGAGAACACAACCGTATTCACACTGGCGAACGACCGCTTAGGTGTTCTTACTGCTCAAAGTCTTTTAAACAAAAATCAAAACTTGATAGACATTCTCTCACTCACACAGATGAACGGCCTTTCAAATGCTTTCAGTGCTCGAAATCATTTCAAGAAAAATCGAATCTTCTGGTACACATCCGCTCTCACACTGGGGAGCGTCCTTACCAATGCACCCACTGCTCGAAGAAATTTAGATACAAAAACAGCAGCTACCAAAGACACATACGTAGTCACACAAGCAATGACAAGTGCGTTAATCCGGCACTCTTCGAGATCACATCGGTAAGAACGCTGGGAACGAATGATTCTATTTCTCCAACTGCAGAACGAGATATTTAAATTTATTCAATTATTTCCGCCATCCTCTTTACTGTGACTTTTACATATGTTACGTACTTTTGTACGTACAGTCCAAGCCATTTTTGGACAAAATAATTGACGAAATATTGGGCAATGTCCAAATTTCTGTATTGAATGTTAAATGTGGCCTTTATAATACAGTTTTAAGTGTTAAAATATTAAGGATAAGATAAAAAAAGACATCGAAATTTTATGAAATGTTAACCTTTTAGAATGAGCGTTTTTTGCAGAGTTACCTTGTAATCTGCACTTCGACAATATATCTGAAATGACCATTAATGAAGTGTACAAAAAAAGTAGCAATAAGCTATTTAATTTTTAAGTTAGTTTAAAATGTTACATTGGTATATTTTGAGTGAATAATTGATTTATTCGACAGAAAATCATAACACATATGTATGTGTGTATTTTACTAATGCATTTTTTAAGTTCAATATGAGATTTGTTGCGACGACCCCAAAAATATATACACAAGACCATTAAAAATTCGAAATTTGCATCCAGATGTGGCCTGAATTCTTCAGAAAAGGAAAAACTATTCCCAGACGGAATTACTGAGCTACGTTCTCCAGAAGCCGTGAGTTCTTTCAATATAGACCAGAAGATTTATGTAGAAGCATAATATTACAGATTTGATGAGCTTTGCGCTTAACAGCCCATTTCGTCTATTTATTTTCTTAAATCAAAACAATACACGCCAAGTCATATTTTCAACTCGGAAAAACAACACTATTTAGCTGCTTGTGGGTTTGAATATACTCTTTTCACATGTATGTATTTTAATTTTGTTGCATTCGGCCCTTAAAACTATTTCAAACTGATGGAAGAAGATGAAGAAATCTGTGATATTGTGGAGGACGAGGACTGTTCGTTGAACGACCTTATCAATGCTGTCACTTCTCAAAGTCGTTTCAAGACAAATCTAAACTCCAGGTGTACATCCGTACTCCCACGGCGGAGCGACACAACACAACATGTCAGTTCGCACAAGGATGAACGACCATACGAATGCACCTACTGCTCAAAGTCATTTACTCAAAACTGTCATCTGAAAGAACACATCTGTACTCACACAGGTGAACGACCCTATCAATGTTCTCACTGCTCGAAGTCATTCACACAAAAGTACAGTTTTACATCACAAACCCGCACTCAAATAAAGGAGGCACTCATGAAAGCGATCCTCTTAAAGTCGACTGATTAGAATCGCTTGGCTTTCAAGGTGAACAATGCCCAAAGGCAATTCCAAACTCTGATAAATTCTCTCGCCTGAAAGGTCTGTGAAACCCTACAATTCTAAAGATATGCAACAGAAGATATTGATCAAAGCGAATGTGAAAACCGGAGCCTGAATGTCGATAATTTATTTAACTTTAGTTAATCCTGGAAAGTCACAAAAATGATTCATTAAAATACTCTGAAATTGCTTTCATTTGAACAGGATACGGATACTCGTGGTAGTCTATTTGCCATAATGCTCCTCTGTCGTATTTGGTGGTGGCTCCGAGTGGACCTTAGACTGATATTTGTACTCCGAGTGGGAACCGGGTGGCGGGCCCGTGCTCGACGCCTGCATAGCATTATAGCCGGACTTTTGTCCCAAATGATGTAGGTGGCTGGTTGTGGGCTTGTACACGGTGGCCAACTCCTGGGCGAGCATGTACTGCTCCTGTTCTGGGTAGTCGTGTTCGCAGTGATGTTCGCCACAGATCTTGCACTCGTAGATATTTGGTCGCAGCGTGCTCTTGATGCGCTATCGAATGGAATATGCTCATGGTTATTGACGGACGCTAACCTAACTGATGAATGAGAATCTAATCACTTACATCCCAAAAGCTGGTACCGCTGGTCCGCATGAAGTTGATTATCGCATACCCCGGTATGCAGATCAGCGAGAAAGATGCGAACATCCATCCAATGCCATAGGCCCAGTCCGGATACGTGTATCTCCCATTGTGATACGTTGGCTCACGATAGTTGATGAGACTCAGCACCCAAATGGCCTACAAAAAAGAGATGAGCATGAGATATGGTTCAACAATTTCTATAGCGGATCACATACAAAGAGGAGGCAGGGTCCCAGCACAAGCCAGCAGGATCTGAGATAGAGTGATGGAGCCTTTCCGGTCATCTGTTTGACATTCTTCGACAGTCGCCCGGTGCCGTAGAACCAGGCAATGGCAATCATTTGGCAGAAGGCCAGAAACATAATTGTCACGGAGGCGGCATAGTGGTCCATCAGCTGGAAGTAGTAGATGCCGCCCTGTATGATGTTTGGCATACCGAAGAGGCACGAGATAACGCAGACAAAGAGCACGACTATTTCGTGGTAGCCCAGGTGCCGTTTAATCCAACGCGGAAAGCCATCCTGTATGGAGGTGACCACCACCTCGACAATGGCAAACTGAGAGTTCAGGCCCAGGCAGAGCAGCATGAAGAAGAACATGACCGCCCACAGCTGGGCGTACGGCATCTTGGCCATGGCCTGTGGATACACCACAAATATCATGCCCGGCCCATCGCCAATGACGTCCCGCACATTGGTGTTCTGCTCCAGCGCCAGGTTGCCCAGGGTGGAGAAGGCGAATATGCCAACCAGCAGGCTGGTTATCATATTCACCGCACTCACAGCAATCGTGTCGCGGAGTATGTTGTTGTTGTACTTGTTGTAGCTGGCAAAGGAGATCATGGATCCGAAGGTAATGCCCAGCGAATTGAAGTTCTGGGAGGCAGCATTGATCCACACATTGGCATTCTTCAGCTCCGACCACTTAGGTCGGAAGAAGTAGCGCAGACCCTCGGCCGCCCCGTCGAGCGTCACGGCCCGTACCATCAGTATGATGATGAGCACAAACGGAAAAGTGGCCGTGAAGTAGCGCACCTTGGCCGACGACTTGATTGACTTCCATGTGGCAAAGTAAACCATCAGCCAGGCGCAAATAAGACAAGCGAACAGCTCCCAGCGCATCATGCCCGGATATTCCAGGCCACCGCTGATCTGCAGCACCTTATTCCTGCAGGAAGAATTATAGAAGAGTCTTAGTAGAATTGTCAATTCGGGGGCAAACTTGAATGCATTCATTACTCGAAGAACTCCTCAGAGGGGGTGCGTGATGTGTCCGGTGCACTGGCATTGTTTTCCTTGCGTTGCGGCACCCAACAGTCGGGCGTATTCCATCTGAAATTTAAATTTAAAGGTTCGATAGTATATTGCATTGCCCTGCTGGGCCCTCTAACCCACCTGTTGCTGCAGTCAATCCAGGGCATCTCCGTTTTAAATGACGTAAAGAAGTAGTAAATGGAATAACCTATGATGACGCTGTAGTACGTGGACATGAGAAACGAGACGACCACACTAGCGAGTCCAGCTCCTGCAATTGTTGGTGGGGCATTCGTAAGCCCATTAGAGAAATTGAAGAAAACATTATAGAGACACCTCGCACAGGTATAGGAATTAATTATTCTCTTATTTATATTGACAGAACGCTGTCCAAAAGTAAGAACTAGGATCGGATCACTTTTTTCTAAAGGTAATTCACCTAAAACTCAGCCACATTTAGTGCCCTTCCCACGAGGTTTTATTGTATAAATTGTGTACAAATTGGGATAAGAGTAAGCCTAAGACGGCAGCACCTTTTTTGGAGGTTGTAATGTAATGTCGATTGGGTGAGTTGCCGCGGGAATATGAATTCCTAATTGGTCCAGCAGCAAATTCGACCGGTTTCATTTGGAACTACATCCGAGTATGTACATGTCTAGACCCTAGCCTAGACTGGCATTCATATGCATAATTTGCCGTTCGTTCTGTACGCCACAGCGACAATTGGATGGATAACCAGACATTCGCGAATCTTGCTTAAGTAGTTTTACACATTATTAATATTTATTTTCTTGGCTCTGCCTTTGGGCCTGCGAGTGGGGGTGTCGCTGCTTTTTTCGCAAAATATTGACAATAATTAAGCGTTTTGTAATGTTGTTTTCTAGATTTATGACCCCTCTGACAACCTCAGCCTTGGGTCGGGTCCGAGTGTGGAGGCGTTAGCAGGGAGCCGGGAGCTTGCTTCCGCGCCTCACATTTTCACGCCACTGCCACAACGACAACAATGAATCCGGCTAATTAGTTTCCGTCCGTATGCAAGTAGAGCACCGCACGGGGTAACTCAAAGCTAAAAAAAAAAAACATAGCTCACACATCCATGAGCAGGCGAGTATGTAGGTACATATATTTTTGTTGTTTTTCTAACCGACCTTGGCAATGGATCTGGCCAAGGCAGCGACACTTTTGAGCTTGTCATGGTAGGATGGGTAGCCCTCAGCCTCGTTTTTCCATTGTTTCACAGCCCACATTCATTGTGACGAAAGAATATTTGTGTAACTCGAAACATTTTCACAAATGACGCAATGAACTTTATTTCGAATTAGCTGATTTATTTCGAGTTTGTTATAAAAATAGCCTGAATTTTGATAGACCATTACCCATTAGATCAGGCGACTCGAATCACTATACCATTAAGCTGTCATAGGAATCAATCAAAAGCATCTGCGGTCTAATGATTTTCCACATAGTAACTTATATAAATACGACCAGAATCGGTATTCAGATCCATATAGCCCCCGAATCTAAATCTAATTAATTTTTAGAAGCATTCTCTGTCGTTTCGTTGTAAACTTACCTTTGAACAAAGGACACAGTTGACCCAAGGCACCGATGGGTCCACGACCAGTGTACTGGCCCACAGACAGCTCCATGAATAGCAGCGGAATGCTGCATATGAACAATATTATGCAATAGGGCACTAGAAAAACACCTGGAAGTAGCAGTAGCAAATGCAAAAAAATATTAGTTATGGGTCGGTCTCAATGTAAATGTGCGCACAAATGTGACAGCAGCTAAGTAAATAAATTAAATTAATTATAAATATTTGAGATCAACAACTGCAAATTGCATAAGGCCATACGAGCTGTACAAGCATCTGTCTCTCCCTACTTTTCCATCATTATCAAGAGATCTTGTGCTCATTATATACGTAAATGGGGCACCAGGTCCGAGTACGAGTCCGAGTCTGAGACCGAGTGACCAAAGTAAATGAAGATGGACGCGGGTCTCCAAGTGACTCGCGTGTTCATACACCATGGATGGTGGGTGGGAGGGACGGTAGGGAGGTATATGTACGGAAAGACGTTGTCTTCGAGATGATGACAGTGACCGCTTTATTTTAAATTTTAATTTATGGCTTTTAAACGCTGGAGCGGAA